CAATCACAATCTCAATCACAATCTCAATCATCGGATGTTCCCCGCAAGTCGCCCGTGGTGTCAACTGTGACGAGGTGCGGGGAGGGAGGGGGTCGACTGCATTTGTGCCCGATAAGGGCAGCCGGGCAGCGCAGGCCAGTTTCGGAATGGCGGAATGCGAGTGCCAAGGTGTGAAAACGCGCTTCTCCCCTGTCGAGAGGCGTGGGGAACCGCTGCTTGCAGGCCGGTCCAGCCGGTCATCGCTGTTCGCTGCTGAGACATCCCGCGCGACTAATTCTTGAACTTTTAATTTTGTGCGTCAGGATCGGTCTGACATGCTGTTTTCGAAAAAATCCAGACTCATCGCATCTCCTCGTTTCGGACTGGCGTTTCATCGGGCAGACGCATGATGCCTGCATTCGATGCTTGTCCGCCATCTGCCGCTATGCGCACTCACTCGGGCCAGCGCCTTCAACAATCGTCGCAGTGACGAGGGCGCAGCAATGAAACGGTAGCGTTTGTGGTCGCATCTGCCATGCCTCGCCTCAGCAGGTGAAGCAGCCCCGGAAGGTCGCCGTCTCACTCGGCCAGTCCGAGCCCATGCAGAAAGATGCCATCGAGGGTCGGATGTGTACCGTGGCGTACGCTGTGCGTGACCAAGTGACTTATTCTTCTCGGCATCTGTCCGAATCGAGGGATCGTCACTAGTTCGCATGCTAGCGAGTGAAACGTGCAGATTGCCGAAAAGGAGACCACCGCCGCTTCGGCGAGCCGAACGCACACGCATCGCAAATCGGATATCGGTCGGAATCTAGGTGTGCATTGCGCAACGAGGGATGGCCGAGACGTGCTGGGAATACTGCAGTGTATCGAGTTGCGGCCTGCTTTTCGTATGATCAGCGATGCAAGAAAGTGGCAACCCAGCCGTCAAAGCCGTGTGTTGTTGTTGTCGTCGCTTTGCACTTAGTGGTGGGCCGCCTTGAGCACCTTCTGGCCTGTTGTTTCCCAACGCAGTCCAGCAACGAGGTCAGCTACAGTCTCCTTCACTACAGAACTTCAATGGCGCAATGCTACTTGCCATACGGGTTGCGAGGGTCCTTGGATGCCTCCTCGGTGGAGACCGCCATGTCCTGCAGCTTGTTGACGCCGTAGAAGACGACACCGGCGGCGATGAAGAACGGCCACATGGGCTTCAGGATGGGCGTAGGGTAAGCGCGGAAGCCGAAGAATGCCATGATGGATGTGCGAGCGTCGGGGTGGAGATCAGGAGGTGATGGTGAGAGCGACGAATTGCGATGTCAGTGCTCTCCCGCCTTTGGCCCTCGTCGCGCTTCCGCACTCTCAACCTTTCTTCTCGCACTAGAGAAATTGCATCCCAGCTGCCACTGCACCCACCTCGAGCCACTTGCGCACTACGAGCAGTTCGTGATCGATTCAAACTGCTGGTCAAAACGGCGCGCCCCGGAACCTCGAATTTTTCGAAACTAGAGCATCACAAGGCTCGAGTCTAACACGTTTGGAAATTCGCCCGCTGCCCTCCTCGACGCTATCCAACAGTGCATGCGCCTCGGAAGCTGGGATTGGGTGCGGATCATCCGACGTTGCTTCCTTGCCTTCCCGCACATCACATCTTGGCGTGGGTAATCCAGACGACGACAGGCGTAGCACGCTTTCCTCCCTCTCACCATCACTGTATCGCTGCTCTTGCCACGTCGGCTGCTCCGACCGATCTCTCTCCCTCTCTCTCTCTCTCTC